CTATTCTTATTCTATAAAAACTTCTCACATCACAAAATTGTTTAATATAGCTTTTAAACTATGTGTAATGCAGTGTGATATGAGAATATTAAAAAAAAACTTTTAAAAATAGTACTCTATGGACTTGAGTCTTTTTTCATTCTAAATTATTATGTAATTATGATTGGGAAAAGACTCTTTCTTCAGTAAACATTTTTTAATTAGTCTGTGATTTGGTTCAAACTTTTAGTTTACAACCACTTTAAAGGACCACTATAGTGCCAGGAAAACATACTCGTTTTCCTGGCACTATAGTGCCCTGAGGGTGCCCCCACCCTCAGGGTCCCCCTCCCGCCCGGCTCTGGAAGGGGGAAAGGGGTAAAAACTTACCTTTTTCCAGCTGGGCGAGGAGCTCTCCTCTCCGCCCGATCCCCGTGGGGTTGAATGCGCCGCGGCAGGAGCTGCGCATTCAGTTCGCATAGGAAAGCATTATCAATGCTTTCCTATGGACGCTGTGCTCTCACTGTGAAAATCACAGTGAGAAGCACGCAAGCGCCTCTAGTGGCTGTCAATGAGACAGCCACTAGAGGATTAGGGGGAAGGCTTAACCCATTCATAAACATAGCAGTTTCTCTGAAACTGCTATGTTTATAAAACAATGGGTTAACCCTAGCTGGACCTGGCACCCAGACCACTTCATTAAGCTGAAGTGGTCTGGGTGCCTAGAGTGGTCCTTTAATGTTAGATATAAAAAGGACTAGAAGGAGCTCAGAAACCATATAATAGACAAGAAGGTTTATTCTTCATATAAATAGATGCTCTAAACAACAATATTTTCCACACATTGCACCAATGATGACCATCGGTGAGAAAAGCATGCCAAATCAAGGAACCACAGAACCAATAGGCAGCATAAACCAATGTTCTGAAAAGATATTCTCCACCACATAGGAATGGAAGTGTCATTAAAACACAAGGCAAGTTTACAGTCAAAATATATTTATAGTAATTCCAATGAGTTGTGGGAAACAACATGTCAATTGGAATTTATACTTTGTTTATTCCATTTTTCTATTTTAAGGGAAGTGTGCAGAGCCCACTGGTATTATATGTGTAGAAGAATTTTAAATAAATATTTTTTAAAAATTTTTTTTAAATCTTTATATTTATTTTTAATATTCAGTTTGACATTTTAATAGGAAAAACTTACTCCTGATATCTTCATCTTTTGGACTTGGGCCCAAAATCTGTGGCAACTTCAGGAAAGGCCTTGTTTTGGAATAATTTCCTGTTCATTTTAATAGCAGTAATATGTGAAGTGGTAGCCCCCAGCTAACTAATAACCTACAGCTATTTACATAAAAGCATGTTTTCCATACTGAATTCTGAGATCTGGACTCAAAAGTGGAAAATATGAGTTTGTTCTATCCACATCATTTTGTTTGATCCCAAGAGGACCAGCAGCATCTGCAACTGCACTTAAACTGGTGGGAACATTTAGCTAAATTACATTTGCTAAAACATATGTAATATTCTGTTTATATGGCTTAGGTAAGGTTAAATGAATTAACTCCTATCAGTGTTATTCTCTAATTTGGGAATTCAAAATAAATTTCCAATTTAATACAAAAAAAAAGGAAATTCTCTAAGTCAGCTATGTTCCATTTTGGCTATTTTGTCCTCAAATTTTAAATTCAATTTGAATTCCTGGCAATTCTCACTGTGATAAATAATTCTGTATGTAAGTACGTAAATATCCATATATATAAAGACCAAACGCATGATATTAACAATTAAAGCAGAATAAATATGTCTATAATACATTTGCACAATAAAGAAAACAAAGATTATTCAAAATATTGCCCACTCATCCAGGATGTAATGAAAGATTGCAAATAAGTATATCTGCATGGTTTATTCAATATCATGATTTAACAACTGTAATAGTAGGCATTATACTCTATATAATATGATGGTTATTATTATTATTATTATTATTATAGTCCAATATTAAAGTATAAAGTTAGTTTAATAGAATTCATGAGTTGATGTAACACAAAATCAGTGACTCAGCTAACAGTAATCCATGGTTCAAAGGTCAGTTTTGAAGTTTAGTATCCGACTGATACTGTTTAAAATACTAAGCTACAAGCAAATGTATACCTCCCAATGGTTTACTGTTGAAATGGTGTTGAGAAAATTGTCAGGTCAAAAGGTCAAATTAAAAATGTTACAAAAGAGAAGAGAAAATGCTAATTGCGTCAAAAATATTACAATGTACGCATGTCACATATATATGTACTGTGTCCCTAATGGATGGTACTTGTTACATTCACAGGGTCGTCTTTAACATGGGGCAAAAGGGGCATTTGCCCGAGGCCCACTTATTCCTGGGGGCCCAAAGCAGCTACCCCTTGATCCCACAACAGTTTAATCATCATGTTGTCTCCCTGCGGCTTGGCCTCTATCACAATGATCCCCAGCGGCCGGGCCCCTCTCTCTGTTTCCCCACGGCCGTGGACGGAACCCTGTGTCTTAATTCCTCCACAACCTGCTGGGAGGAAGTGAGTTTGGTCACTTCCTCATGGCCAGCTAACAGAGAGCCGCGTGGGGAGGAGGAAGCGGAGGTGGCACACACCTTCAGTTAGTGTATGTGTACCTGTGTGTTTTTGTATGGGTACCTGTGTATGTATACCTGTGTGTATGTGTACTTGTATTAGTGTGTATGTTTACTCGTGTATCTGTGTACTTGTGTTAGTGTGTATGTGTACCTATGTGTCTATATATTTGTGTTAGTGTGTATGTATGTATATCTATGTGTCAATGTTTTTTTGCTCCTATGTATCTGTGCATGTGGCAGTGCATACATCCCAGCATTTCAATGCTAACACTGCACACAAATACACCCCTGCATGTGCACCTGTGTGTATCTGTGTGTGTGTGCATATCTGTGTCAGTGTGTGCAAGCGTGTATATATGTGTGGAAATACATACACCTCTTCATTCCAACGCCAAAACTGCACACAAATACACCCCTTTCACCCTCCACCTGATCCCACCCTCTTGGAGTCAGAGGTGGTAGTCAGGCACCATGCTAGAGACAAAGTCCCGTTCTCCCTTCATCTGACATCATGCATGGGCAGAGCAAGGTTCCCGGTATGTGGACTCTTCGTTAGGCCGGCAGGGTGCCTGGGTTCCGTGGGTGTTGCAGCTTGAGCCTCTCTGTATCTGCCTGGACCAGCCCTCCTCGCTTGTTGTGAGCCTGAGCTGCGATGTAGCTGCATGTAATGTTTCCATGCTGTACCCGGCATGTCTCGCCGGACTTGCTTTGCGGTCTGTCGTCGCGGTGGATGGCATGATGGTGCATAGCTTGCCGTTGCCGCCATCTTGTAAGGTAGGCCTTGGGGGTCTCGTGCCACTTAATCTCCACTCATCTTGAGCTTTCTGCAGGGGGGCTGGGATGACCCCCCCAGCCCACAGGGGGGGAAACGGGACCGGCAAGCCCCTCGAAAAGCCAGTGTGGCAGTTGGGGAGGGAGGCAGGGCGGCGGCCGTCCACCCCGCTCTCCTCCCGAGTAGGCCGCAGCTCCCGAAGCTTCGTGCTTCCCTCAGGGGACCCAAAGCTCCCGATCTCGGGGTCCACCGCCTCTTCCACCACCGTGTGAGTATCTTGTGTGCTCATGTCGAGTACCAGGACTGTGAATTTTGGCTTAACAGGCCAGATTTCTCCGGAGCCTGTCCTACATGCGACCGGTCAGCATGGCGGTCCGGCCCCGCCCCCTGATCCCACCCTCTTCACCTTACAAAACTCACAATAACTCCCCCAATGCTGTCACACTCACCTTCTTTCGCTCTGCCACACTCACCCTATTACATTAATCCAGCTAATCCTGTCACACTCACTTTCTCTCGTACTGTCACACTCACCCCTCAACCCTGTCACACTCATCCTCCATCACTCTGTCACACTCACCCCCTTTCACCCTGCCTCACTCACCCTATCACATTAACCCCTCCAATTCTGTCACACTGATCCCCCCCAATCATGCCACACACACCCAGTCACATTAATTTCCCCTAATTGTTTCACGCTCACCTTCCCTTGCCCTGTCAGACTTTCTCCTTCAACCATGCCACATTCACCCCTACCCTGTAACACTCACCCCGCAACCATGCCACACCACCCTGTCACTTTATCCCCCTAACCCTGTCACACTCACCACCCAACCCTGTCTCATTCACCCCTCTGGGCCTGGCACACTCACCTTGCCATAGTTGCCCCTTTAAGATTGCGGAGTCCAGGGAGCCCAAGCAAATGCTTGTCCAGGGTCCAATCAACATTAAAAATGGCCCTTTACATGGGGCATACATTATAGGAATGTGACAAATAGAGGCTTCTGTAGACATGAGGTGGGACATCATATATTTTTATGCACTCCATAAGTATGGCCTTATAGTCAACAATAAAGTAGAATAATCACAAGTTTAGCTAACATATCAGCTATGAAACAAGGCATTTGTGGGGCTGAGTCGGGTTAGACATACTGACATGTGACTTAAAGATTTTGTATAAACAAGCTTAAGTGGGACATTTCCTACCACATTAGTTATAAAGAGACAGGGCTTGAATTGTCTAGCGACTATATGCTCCAGCTTAGTGGGAGACCCCCCTCTGCGGCAGTCTCAAACTCTCTAAGGGTGAGGTATGAATATGCATGAAGGTCAGCAGGGTTGTTTGTTGTGAGAGACCCATAACTAAAACAGAAAAGCGACCAAAAAAGAGAGGAGAAAAAGATACACAATATTCAGACTGTAACTTCATGCTCATGCAAGTGTATAGCTATGCTGCTTTCTGCCAGTACGGCACTACAGGAAGTTGCAAGTCATAGGCCACAAGTTCCAGGGAGTCCCATATTGCCTTATGCCTTCAAGAGTCACAGCCCAGACCTGTAACATGTTGCTCAGGCCTTCAAGCCAGGGTGGAAGTCGATGGGTCGTTGGGTGTAGGAGGACAGCAAGTATTCAACTTAGACAGGGGGGGGGTCGCATCCAAGTGCTACAGCAGTACAGACGAAGTGTGTCCCTGTCAGACTTTGCAGAAAGACAGGTGTGTTTTAAGGCTTTTCCCTGGGAGGTCAGGGCACTGTACCCATATGGGGAGCGGCACTGTTGCTTCAAGCATCGCAGGCGCCTCTTCCGCCTTCTCTGTAGGGCGCAGAGGCGTCGTTGCAAATGCCCCCATCTCCCCGCAATCCTCATCCCCGAAAGATCAGGTGGATGTCGCTGCTGACCAGGGGGTCCATCTGACCACTCTGTCAGGCGTTGAGTAGGAGTGGCTGTGTCTGCCTTTACGGTGCGTGCGGCCAGCGAAGTGGGGGGTGCCGCAGTTTCTGCACGGAGTCGTATCCACTCCCAAAAGGCTGCACAGATGTCATTGAATGCTCCTAATGCCTTAGATAGGCCCCACAGAGTCGTGCTCCGTCGCATTGTGAGGTGCAGACATTGAGCCCATGTGGGTGTGCTGTGTGCACAAGTCAGTCCCAAGAGTAAAGGTGTAGCGTAGGGTGCCGGGATATCCCTCACCAGGGGGGGGGGGGGATGAGGTTTCTTACCAGGGTGTTCTTAGTAGATTGTGGGTAGAGGGATCGGCCGCCTCCCTCACTCCTGTGTCGCGTGGTAGGCCATAACTTGGCCGCAGACGTGCTCCAGTAAGATGCTGACTGGGTGACAAGGGGCCAAAAGCCAGATTAGTTGCCCAGGGTTGCAGTATACCAGCAGGGTCTTCTGGTGTCAGGTGTGTGTGACAGAAATCAGCTTGAGAGGTTATATTGTGCGAAATTTCCAGGAGCTCATGCTGCATGTGACCACTCACCATGCCAGTCAAGCCCCGCCCCGCCCCCTTAAATATGTAATATTAATAACCTTCACTAATAATAATATTCTGTTTATGGAAGGAACATTTTTATCTATAGAGAAAAGTGCCACATTTTATGGAAATGACTTTGATCAATGCGCTTATATATAAAAAAAAAAAAAAGCTCGTGGGCTTATATATTATTGCGATGAGTTCACAACCACTTAGGCAAACCTTGGACCCAAACAGCTTCATTGAAACATTTCTTTGTTTAGCTATATTTTAAAGTTGGCAAATTTAGTTAAATTTAGTTTTTCTTTCAACACTGTTTAGTGTATAAGCTTACTTTATTTTTGTATAAGCTGTTAATCAGAGTGAAAAACCCACAAAACAGAAGGAAAAGAGTACTCACCCACTTGGGAAAACCGACATGGGTAGGAAAAATAAGAAACCCAGATCCACATACACATACAGGCCTGCGAGCCTGCAAGCCCGGGATATCGGCGAATTGTTCCGCAACTCCCAGAGGGCCACATGGGACAACATGGCGCACCTCGATGGGGGTTCCTTGTGCTCATCTGAAAACCTTTTGGACTTGGAAGAGGGGAGCACCCACAGCATGCAGACAGGACCTTGGCTGCCTATGATGGAGGATACAGACCCTGTTACCACATCCCTACTAAAGAAGATGCTGGCGGAGCTCCGAGCTAACATAGCCGGTGATATGGCTCAATTCCAGAAAGTGGTTGACGGCGCTCACGCAAAGATTGCCGACCTGGAGACCTCCCACAGCAAACAGGATGCCAGGCTTTCCGAGATGGAGAAGCAACTGGAGGAGCTCCACTGGCAGTAGAAAGCAACCACGTATAGGGTGGATGTCCTAAGAGGCCAGCGGATGAGAAGGTTAGAGGAGTGCTGGAGGCCCTGAGCCTCATTGACTTACCACACTTCATTAGAAGACTTCTGGCTGTGAACCTGCCACCTAAACAGGCCAGGGCTGTAAAACTAGACAGTGTGTCCTGCATTCCTACTGATGACCACACCTGATATCATAATCCGATTTCAGTCTCTACAAGACCGGGCTTACTTCTCTCAGCCCTCAGGGAAAATAACTCACTGCAGTTTGAGGGAGATACCCTACAATTGTTCCCAGACTTAACCAGAAATACCCTGGCCTGGCGTTGATCTTTGCACCCTCTCCTCCAACTCATGCGAGCAATGGACATTCCCTATAGCTGGGGCCTACCAAGAACCCTGATATTTACTGCCCAAGGAGAAACTCGCTGTGCGAGCACATTGCAGGATCTTGAAGACCACCTCCACAAGTTGGGCCTTCTTACGCAGACCGCATCAGCTACAGCGACCCTGTCTTGTCTAGATCCAGCAACGATAAAATAATTTACCCCCCCCCCAATCCACACAGGCTCCATCGTCTTCCAGAGCAGTGACCTGAATACCTGAAAAGGACTCAAAGCTGAAAGTCAGTTTCCCAACACCACAGAGACTCACTCTCTTTTACCACCAGTTCTTTTGATCTTTCAGTTTAGAAACATAGAAACATAGAATGTGACGGCAGATAAGAACCATTCAGCCCATCTAGTCTGCCCAATTTTCTAAATACTTTCATTAGTCCGTAGCCTTATCTTATAGTTAGGATAGCCTTATGCCTATCCCACGCATGCATAAACTCCTTTACTGTGTTAACCTCTACCACTTCAGCTGGAAGGCTATTCCATGCATCCACTACCCTCTCAGTAAAGTAATACTTCCTGATATTATTTTTAAACCTTTGTCCCGCTAATTTAAGACTATGTCCTCTTGTTGTGGTAGTTTTTCTTCTTTTAAATATAGTCTCCTCCTTTACTTTGTTGATTCCCTTTATATATTTAAATGTTTCTATCGTATCCCCCCTGTCTCGTCTTTCTTCCAAGCTATACATGTTAAGATCCTTTTACCTTTCCTGGTAAGTTTTACCCCGCAATCCATGAACCAGTTTAATAGCCCTTCTCTGAACCCTCTCTAAGGTATCAATATCCTTCTGAAGATACGGTCTCCAGTACTATGTACAATACTCCAAGTGAGGTCTCACCAATGTTCTGTACAATGGCATGAGCACTTCCCTCTTTCTACTGCTAATACCTCTCCCTATACAACCAAGCATTCTGCTAGCATTTCCTGCTGCTCTATTACATTGTCTGCCTACCTTTAAGTCATCAGAAATAATCACCCCTAAATCCCTTTCCTCATATGTTGAGGTTAGGACTCTATCAAATATTCTGTACTCTGCCCTTGGGTTTTTACGTCCAAGATGCATTATCTTGCACTTATCCACATTAAATGTCAGTTCCACAATTCTGACCATTTTTCTAGTTTACCTAAATCATTTGCCATTTGGCTTATCCCTCCTGGAACATCAACCCTGTTACATATCTTAGTATCATCAGCAAAAAGACCTTACCATCAAGACCTTCTGCAATATCACTAATAAAAATATTAAAGAGAATGGGTCCAAGTACAGATCCCTGAGGTACCCCACTGGTGACAAGTACAAGCTTTGAATATATTCCATTAACTACAACCCTCTGTTGCCTGTCACTCAGCCACTGCCTTACCCATTTAACAATATTGGAATCCAAACAAAAGATTGCAGTTTATTGATAAGCCTTCTATGTGCAACAGTGTCAAAAGCCTTACTGAAATCAAGGTAAGCAATGTCTACTGCACCACCCTGATCTATAATTTTAGTTACCCAATCAAAAAAATCAATAAGATTAGTTTGGCATGATCTCCCTGAAGTAAACCCATGTTGTCTCTGATCTTGAAATCCATGTGTTTTAGATGTTCAACAATCCTATCCTTTAACATGGTTTCCATCACTTTCCCCACTACTGAAGTAAGGCTTACTGGCCTATAGTTGCCCGACTCCTCCCTATTACCTTTCTTGTAAATGGGCACAACATTCGCTAACTTCCAATCTTCTGGGACTACTCCTGTTAACAATGATTGGTTAAATAAATTTGTTAATGGTTTTGCTAGTACACCACTAAGCTCTTTTAATAGCTTTGGGTGTATTCCATCAGGTCCCATTGACTTATTTGTCTTTACTTTTGACAGGTGAAATAGAACCTCTTCCTCTGTAAACTCACATGTAATAAATGACTCTTTTATCCTTTTTCTCAACTGAGGTCCTTTTCCTTCATTTTCATCTGTAAATACAGAACAAAAATATTAATTGAGGCAGTCAGCTAGACCTTTATCCTCTTCTACATACCTTCCTTCTTTTGTTTGTAATCTAACTAATCCTTGTTTTACTTTTCTTTTCTCATTTATGTATCTAAAAAATGTTTTATCCCCCTTTTTTACTGACTGTGCTATTTTCTATTCTGTGTGTGATTTGGAAGCTCTTATAACTTGCTTAGCCTCTTTCTGCCTAATCTTATAGATCATTTTGTCTTCCTCACTCTGGGTTTTTTTATAATTCCTAAATGCTAACTTTTTGTTTTTAACTATTTTGGCCACATCTGCGGAGTACCACAGTGGTTTCTTGAATTTTTTGCTTTTACTGACAAGCCTAATGCAATTTTCTGTTGCCTTCAATAGTGCAACTTTTAAATTATCCCATTTCTCTTGGACTCCATTTAAATTGCTCCAGTCTGATAATGACTCCTCTACACATATTCTATTTTTAGAAAAGTCTGTTTTTCTAAAGTCTAAAACTTTTGTTTTTGTGTGGTGTGACTCAGTCACTGTTCTTATATTAAACCACACTGACTGACGATCACTGGATCCTAAACTTTCACCTACCGTAATATCTGATACCAAATCTCCATTTGTTAACACTAAATCTAGTATGGCCTCTTTACGAGTTGGCTCTTCAACAACTTGTTTTAGAGGCAATCCCAGTAGTGAGTTTAGAATATGTGTGCTCCTGGCACAAGTAGCTAATTTTGTTTTCCAATTTACATGAGGAAGATTAAAGTCACCCATGATGATAACTTCCCCCTTCATTGTCATTTTAGCTATTTCCTCAACTAGTAGATTATCTAACTCTTCAATTTGTCCTGGGGGCCTATAAATCACACCTACACGAGTTACTGTGTTATTACCAAATTCTAACGTAACCCAAACGGACTCTATGTTTGTCTCACTAACTTTTATTAGGCTAGATTTTATGCTATCCTTCACATATAGGGCCACCCCTCCCCCTTTCTTGCCTTCCCTATCATTTCTATATAAAGAGTACCCTGGTATTGCTATGTCCCAGTCATTTTTCTCATTATACCATATCTCAGTAACAGCGACTAAATCTACACTATCAGTTGCCATTATTGCCACAAGTTCATGGAACTTTTTCCCTAAACTGCGAGCATTTGTAGACATGTCTCTAAGCTTATCATTTTTTAACACACTTGCTACAGGCACCTTCTGTCCTTGTTTTGGGGGACAATTGGATTGATGTTTTATCACCCTTTTGCCCCCCCCCCCCATGCTAGTTTAAATACATCCTTGCAAAACCTCTGAACTGCTCACTGAGAAAATTTGTTCCCTTTTGAGAAAGATGCAAACCATCTTTTTTGTACAGCTTATTTCCATTCCAAACAGAGCTACCATGAGAAATAAAGCCAAATCCTTG